TGGCAAACGAAACAACAAGTAGGTCTGAGGAGCCTGGCCTGCCCCCACCAGCTTTTCCCTGGAGCTAATGGGAAGATGCAGCACCCTCTCAAGGGAGATGGTAACTGGAGTTTGGGGTCAAGACCTGAAGGGTGAGGTTGACTGTGGTCCAGCTGGGAGCAGCGGGAGGCACACTAGACACTGAGGAAGAACTTCCGGCAAAACTAAAAGTAGAACTTTCATATCCTCCATATTTTCTGGGGGAAGCTGGCCCCTGGGAAGCCTGGTGGTTGTGTACTTGAATTACACATGCACGTTTAAAAATCAAGACTCAACACTGGTTATGTTTGGTGGGTTATTACAGACAGTTTAATTTTTTTTTTTTCTGTTTTCTTTGGCCCTGCTAAAGAAAAAATTACTGTGACATTTTAAAAAATGTCAAGGAAGACTTGAAGCCTATTGCAAAAGTGGGATTGCGATGGAGGAGAGAGATCAACAAGGAGAAGTGAGGATTTATAGTCGATGAAGTATGGGGGGGGTATGTGGATAGAAATTACTAAGAGGAGACACCAGGGGTACGTGGATTTTTGCTAAATTGACCTAAAAGGATTCTTGCTAAAGGCAAGCTAACAAGGATAACAAGGGTGGGAGATGAGGAATTTGATCAGATATCAGGGAGTGGGGAGTTTCTCAATAAACGGACATATAATAGCAGGATTCTTGCTACAATTGGACAGGCAGGGTCCAAGGGCCAGGCTAACCAAAAAAGAGGGCTCCGAGGAGCTGGTCTGAAGTTTGGTCAAGAAGAGAATCTTCGTTATCCCATAAGGACCGTATCAGTATAGCCATTTAAAATAAGAAATGGAAATTGATAGAAATTTCTTTTTAATAATAAAAATACCTTCGCAAAAGGTATGGCACATAAATGCAATGTGCAATCTTGGGATTGGATCTTGAGCAGAATTTATTTTTTTAGTTTTTCCATTAGTGAGACAATTGGAAAAATCTAAATATGGGTTAGATTGGATAACAGCATTGATGGCAATTTCCCGATTTTAATGACTATGGAAGAGAATGTCCTTGTTACAAACACTGAATAATTTCTTCAGTAAAGGTGCACCACGCCTTCAGTTTACTATCAAACATTTAGGAACAAACAATGTCTACGAAGAGAGACAGCAGGACAAAGCGCCCAGGGGAACTGCTGCATTTGGGGAATCTGTGGGAAGGTATATGGGAGTTCTTTATACGATCTTTGTAACTTCTATAACAATCTGAAATCATTTCAAAGAAGAACTTTTTTAAAAAGAGAGAAAACCTTATCTAAGCTTCAAGGACCGTGACAAATGCCACCTTTCCCAGCCAGTTGCTTTCAGCTGAATCAGCACCTCACCCAACCTGCCCTGTGGTAACGTGGACGTAGACCGTTTTCTTGACAAGCTTCTCAGCCTTGATTTTCTCAGAGCCTCTTCATTCTTTCTCCTCTAGAGGCAGCACCACAGGATGGGTCCCCAGGCAGCCTCTGTACTTCCCAGGTGCGGGACCTTGGTCACTGCCACTGCTACATCCTGGATATCGCATCCACAAAATGACCTTTACAAAACATATTGCACACAGTTGCCACATGGAACTCAGAACAACGCCTGCCATAAGTTCCAATTCCAGAAGGAACTCTGTAAATGTTAATTCCTTTCTCTTCCCTTTTCTTGGGTCAGCCTCTCACCACCCTTGGGTCATAGGTAAATGTTTGAATCCAATTGTGTGATAATTTCTGTCAACAATTAGCAATTTACAGTTTTACACATTAACCCCTTCATGAATGTAACACTTGCCCACACCTTTTCTTATCTGGTGACCCTAGAAGCCTATGGAGTAGTAAAGGTCCCATTGTTGCCTCTTTTATATCTATTTGGAAACCGAGGCACCGAAGAGATGAATGATATACTTTTCTAATTTATGTGGCTGATACTAGTAAGGAGTAGACTCTGGCAGGAGCCAGAAAAATCTCATTATTTGTGGCAAAAAAAGTTTTTATAGATGTTCCTTGACTTACAATGGAATTATCATTATCAGTTGAAAATGCATTTAAGACACCTACCGAACATCATAGCTTAACCTAACCTACCTAGAACATGCTCAGGAATACATTAGGCTACAGTTGGGCAAAATAACCTCTCTGCTTCTGTTCAGCATCACAGGGAAGTATCGCACCACATGTCACTAGCCTAGGAAAAGATACAAATTCAAAGTAAGATTTCTACTGAATGCTTATCACTTTCACACGATTTTAAACTAAAAAAATGAGGTTTAACCACTGTAAGTCGGGTTCCGTGTAGTGGCACCTCCATACAAACAAGCCAACTGCAAACACGTCTTAACAAAATTCACGAGGCCTTTGTCCTCATGTGTTACCACTGACTCCTCCATCCTAAAGTGACGTTTTGTTCATTTCGTTGATTAATCTTTTAATGAGCACCTACTAGGTGCTAAGCATATGTCAGGCACTTAGAACACTAAAGGATAGGCAAGAAGTTTGAAGTCCTGTGGGGGGAGAGGGGAGAAGAACTGAGCAAACATGATACATGCAGTATATCAGCTACTGTCATTAAAATATTAACGATGCAGACCGTTCTCCTTCTAATTGCTCTTAAATGTATAAAAGTGATGCCTGTGGCAATTAGGATCTAAAGCCCTAAAGCTCGCTGTCTGGAACATGGGACACTCCCCTTCCAGCTCACAACATGAAAAGGCATTCAGTGACATACAGCTATGAGACATCTGCTCTGAGCCAACTGTACCTAGAGAAGGAAGGAGAACCTTTCTGCCCTAAAGGCATTTTTACAATAATTTAGAAGCCACATCCCTCTTTTCTCACCCCAGAGCTGCATTCCTCGTTGTCTGCAGTGTCTTGTTATTCCAGGGCTGGGGTCCTCCAAGAACTCCTTAAGCACACCCCGTGCTCTGGCTTAGGAGCGTGACCACATGGACAGGGTCAGCAGTACTCCAAATGACCGAAGACCCGTGAATGAAAGGAAATGAGACAGACAACCTAATTTAGCAGGGAGACAGACAACCTAATTTGGAGGGCAACGGCTTCCAGGGCTGCTAAGAGCAAGGATATGATTTTGCCATGGGAAGCCCTAGCAACTTGGAAGACATGACATCCTGAATCTGAAGACCTCTGAGTTTCCAGGACAGATTTCTCTAGACTTTCACGCTCTTTTGAATGGGTTGGATAGGTAGCTGTTCAGTTGAAGGGCTGACATTTATTTACTAGGAAAAGCCAGGCCTCTCTGGCAAATAAAACACTACTCACTCAGCCCTTTGCTTCAGATGCCCCTGTCTGGCTTTGTGTTGCACATCCCATTCCGAGTGATTTTCCTGGTCTTCACCACTCCCGGTAGAGGGTGCCTTGTAAGGGTGCAATTATTACACGAATGAATGAGATGATTAAAAAATGCATACATCCCCTCTGAGCAACCTTGGGAAGAAGTGCCAAGCAAAATGTCAACGTATTTCTTTTAATGAATGTTGTAAAGGAGGCCATCGACTATCTCAAATTAAAAGACACGCCTCGGACATCAGCAGCCCCACTGCGTTTTTATTAGTCTGTAGCCAGTATGGGACCAGGAAGGAGGGATTCGATTTCTTCACTATCCTGGGCATCTCTCTGCTCAGGTGGGGGCAGGCCCTGTAGGAGTTTGAGGACTGCACATTTCCTGTGTCTGAGGGAGGGGCCCGGAGAGCTTCGCTGACAGCCAGGTACAGTTGTCCTGCTAAGAAGGGCAAAAGTTCCCCTGTGTTTGTGTCTGGGAGCGCACAGGTGGAAGGATAAACCAGCTCCTGAGTGCCCTCACCCGCTGGTGGCCAGAACGTCTCCCTAGCATTGTCTCGCCCTTGATAACTCCCCCTCTCTCCCCCCCACCCTCAAAGCCTAAAGAATCCTCCTCTTCCCTTGGAAGCGCCTTTTACACTGTCCTCCCACCCAGACTTTCCAGCCTAAAGGGTCCGGGGATCTGGCTTGACGATGAGGGGCGGAGCCAAACCCTCGCAGGGCCCGCCCCTTGGCTGCGTGGCTGAGGGATTGGATGCTTCGGAAGGCCGCCTTCGGGGCTGCCCAGGGGTGCACCCGAGGTCCGGGCGCAGGTGCGGGGTGCGGGGGACTCCCACCCGCGAAGTTGGGGGGGGGGGACCCTGCGTCCGAGTGACCTCTAAGGCGGGGTTGCCCGCAGGAATCTGGGCGCCCTAGAGTGCCGCAAGCCAGCGGTTTCTTGCGGCGGAAAGGGATCTCTCTGGGCTCGCTGGAATTGCGATGGCATTTGGGAAACTTCTCCCCCCTACTTCTTGCTTCCTACTTTCGCGTGGAAGAGCAGTTGCTGGGTTGTTTTAGGTCCTCTCCCAATCAGACCCTGTAAAAATAGCCGTGCGCCCTCGGCTTCTCCGCTGGCTGCCCCGGGCCGGGTGTGAACCTAAAAATACCCGGCGGTTTGGAGCCGGCGCTCCGGGTGCCGGCGGGTCCGGCCGGGCCGCAGAGGGCGTCTGGAGACCAGAGAAACGGAGGCCGCCTGGCCCCTCGCCTGGGCCCTCGCTTGGGCCAGGGCTGTCCCTTTAAATCCTGGAGGAGGCAAAGAGAAAAAAAGAAAGAAAGAAAAAAGACGCGGAGCCCTGAGCGGTGGGTGGCTCTGCCTGGCCCCTACTCCGCCCGCCCCCGCGCCGCGTCCAGCCGGCCGCCCGCCGCCCCCGCGAGCCTGGGGAGCCCCCCGCAGCGCCGCCCACCGCCGGCCACTGTCAAAACAGAAATTAAACGGAGCCCGCGAGGTGGAGCCGCAGCAAGTGCATGTGTGGCGGGCGAGGAGGGAGCGCAGGGGAAGGGGCGGGCGCGAGGGAGCGGCGACCACAGACATCCGGGCCCTTGAGCCCCGTGCGCCCCCCGAGCGGGTGGCGCGGGCCGCGGGGACGCCGGGCGCGGGGCGCGGGGCTGACAGCGGCGGCGGGGGCGGGGCCCGGGAGGGCAGGGGCGCGGCGCGGGGAGGGAGGAGCTGCCGGGAGCCGCTCGGTCCCACACCCGCCGGCGCGGCCCCGCCACGAGACTCTGACAGCCGCGGCCGCGCTGCTCCCCCGCGCACCCGGACGGACCGCGGCGGCGGCGAGGGAGGACGCGAGGACCGCGGCCCGGCGCCCAGTGCGGGCGGCGCGCGGTGGCCCTGGCGGCGCGCAGAGGTGAGTTGGCTCCGCGCGCAGGGCTCGGGCACCGGCTGTGAGGGCTGCCGTCTCCCTCGCACCTTGGCTGCCGAGGCGGGTCGGGGGTCGCGGGGCTCCAGAGAGGTAGCTGTGCGCCGCCGAGGCCGGAGAGCGATGCCTGGAGCTGTTGCTAGGAGGCCGGCTGATGGCGCGCCCGGGGCACCGGCGGGGGCAGGGGCGCCCCGGCGCGCCGGGCCGGAGGCGGGGGGCTGCGGTGGCTATTCAGGGGGAACTCCGTGTGGCAGCCATGCCACGGGAGGAGGCGGGAGGAAGGAGAGCGGGAGGAGGGGGAGAGCCAGCGGAGAGCTAGCCGGCGCGCCTCCTGGCTGGCACCGCGGCCCGGAGCGAAGTGGCGCGCGGGGCTGGAAGGGAACTTCTGCAGCGCGGGCGGCCCCGGCGGGGCGGCGCCTCCTGGGCCGGGCCGGGCGGGCCCGAAGGCAGCCACAGGTGGTTTCTGCTGAAAGTTTTATCGCACATCTGTCCGGAAGGCGCGGGAGCGTTTTTGGAGAGGGACGGTTTCCTGAGACTCGGGCACCCGCACCTCATGTTGTCTTATCTTCAAGATGAGGAAAGGAGCAGGCAGTCTGGGATCCCGCATCCCAGGATGTGGTGGCTCAGGGGCTTCCTGGAGGTCTGGCCCAGAGGTGACGCCTTAGTGGGGCCCTAAGACCCAGGCCGCTGTCCAGTTGGGAAGTTGCGGGAAATGGGCGCACGCACATGGCTCCTGCATGTCGGGGAAAGAGGAGCCGAGGCCAGACCGTGGTCCGCTCAGTTCAGGATGGCACGGGGTCTCTTCCTAGGGACCGCGCCAGCGTCCTATCTCGGGGCGTGCGCATCCTCCTGCTCTTTTGAAAGCGAATCGTCTCTGGCCGCTGTGCTGCTTTGTTATTGGGGTTGGCTGTCTGATTTCATTCGGAAGGGGCCGGGAGGAGCCCAAGGAAAGCTGAGCGGCGGCATCTCTCACAGCCTCATAGGATGGTACCCAAGCCTGGGCGGCGAGGGGCCAGGGCGGAGGGGAGCCTGTGAGAGGTGGTGTGTGCTGCCTGCCCGCGGAGCTTCGCCAGACAATTCACAAGGCTGGGGCTGGGTTTTCTGGGGGCACCGGGGACGGAAAGAAGAGGGAGGGGGGAAGGAAGGGAAGACCCCTAGAAGAGGAAGATATGCTGTGGTCAGCCCCGAGAGAGAGGTTCAGAGAAGTCCCGTGGTTTGGCCCCGTTCCTCTGTGGCCGCGCTGACGAATCCAGGGTAGGGAGGTTACAGCCACCCCGGTAGGTCCGTCCTAGGCTGAAAGAAATCATTTTCTCCGAAGTGGGTCTGATACCCAGTTGTTGCAAGTTGGCACGGAACTCCTGAGAGCTGGAAACAGCCTCTCATTCTGGCTGGTCCTGCTCCCTCTCCCTGTTCCCCCCACCCAGCCCTACAAGTACCTGAGCAGAAGTGTCCTTTCTTTAAGCCACAGGTTTTTTTTAAAAAATATATATTTTATTGATTTTTTTTTTTTTTTTTTTTTTTTACAGAGAGGAAGGGAGAGGGAAAGAGAGCTAGAATTATCGATGAGAGAGAATCATCGATCAGCTGTCTCCTGCACACCCCCCACTGGGGATGTGCCCGCAACCAAGGTATATGCCCTTGACCGGAATCGAACCTAGGACCCTTCAGTCTACAGGCCGATGCTCTATCCACTGAGCCACACCAGTTTTGGCAGGGCCACAGAGTTTTGAAGCTAAAAGAGAGCCTAGGAATCAGGAGAGCTCATTTTACAGGTGAGCAAACTCCAGGCCCAAAGAAGGAAAGCAACCCGTCACAGTGTTAGAGGCCCAGGAGGCCCAGGAGGCTGGAATTGACACCAGCCTCCCAGTCAGGGTGGGAAGAGCCCCCTCACCAAGGCCCAAGGGCCTGAGGTCAGAAATGCCACCCCCTCTCCCAGACTCATCAAGGGCCTGTTATCTGGTACTTTCTATGACCATGGGTGCCAGCAAATGGGGTGTATTTCTAGTTTTCTGCCCTTGACTTAAAAAAAAAAATCAGGACTGACTGTCACTGCAGATTCCAGTTAGACACTATCCCAACTTTTCCTGCTCCTTCCTCACCCCAACGTCCTCACACTCCTTTTGTAACAGAATGCAGCTTGATTGGCCAAGATGGCTTTGCAGCTCGTCTCATTCTGAAGCACCCACTTTCCGTAGCATGCCAGAACTCTGTTTTCCTGGTAATTAGGTTTTACAGATATTTTTGAAAGAGAGCCCAAATTCTGCATCAATTATACTTGGACACAAATGCCGTGCTGTTGTGGATACCAAATGAGAAAGATGAGCAATTATCTGAGAGTTTTGGAATACATGTTGTTATGAGTATTTGACACAGCTATTAAGACATCAATGAGTGGGTTTTCAGCAAATGTTTTTTTTTTTCATGCTGTATTTTATTGAGCCAAACAAAGTGTCTTAATGAAAAAGACCTGGGAGTTGGCCACTTGAATCTTAACCATACGTTTCTACTAGGATGTAGAGGTGGGAAAGATTTGAATAATAAGCAGAGGGATTGTTGATTCGAGGGCAATGCGTATTCTTCAGTCTATAATGTCATATTAAATTTAAAAAAAAAGTTGGGGAGCGATGTGTGTCAGTCTGTGTTAGTCAGAAATGACTTGTGAGAGAGGATATTTTGTATGTTTTCCTGCTTTCAAGGACATGTAGTATCAAGAATCCAAGGCATGCAGTGTCGCTTGAGTGTAATTCTGCTTTCATGAGCAGCTAAGAATCAGTGTCCCTGTAGTTCCCATAAGAGAAACCATGACCTGGTGTCATACAGATAGCCCATGTGACCTTTCGACAGTGCCTTTCACTTCCGATGCATGCCACTTTCCTCCGTGGTTCACAGTTCAGCTATTTGCCCATCTTACAGATGGGGAAACTGAGGCAGGGAGAGGAAGAGTGTATGATTTCTATAATGTCATTCAGTTCAATGCAGCTTGGGGTGTCCGGATAGACCAGGGCGTAAGAGGGCTTCCTCCTGAAAATATCGCCCCTTTCAGCGCTGCAGTACAAGAGGATATAGATGGGTGGGGGGCTTGCAGTTACACTCCATGGGAGGCCAGTCACTCCCATGGGGGCCTGAAGAACTTTGTTCCTCGCCCCTCCCCCCCTGCTGAGGGTGAGTAGTTCTCCTCCCTCTCACTGCAGGCTGTGGGAACTTGGGCGAGGAGGGACCAGCTGGCTGAGGCTGGGGCGGGGGTGTGGGATCTGTGCCTGTGTAGGGCTGAAGGAGTGCAGGCTATTTATAACCCCTCCTCCCCTCTGGGGAAGAAGCCACTCAAGGGTCTGGGTCCATCCTTGGTGCTGATTTCTCCCCAGGGTGCTGTGCCTCACTGAGAAAAACCTGCCATCCAAATGCATGGAGGGTACTGGGGTGACCGGTGGGGAGGGGCCTGCAGGGCTCCTGGAACCTCCGCTGCTCTGGTGGACTTAGGATTCGAGGATTTCCTAGTGCTAGTGTGTGCACTTTTCTCAGGCACTGACCCCTCCCGCCCCCCATTTGCACATAGCGAGGGACACCCCAGAAATCTCACAGAGCAGAACTTAAGAACCTGCAAAGGGGGGCTTATCGCTGCTCTGAATAATGCCAACAATGATTTTTAGGCAGGAGGAAAGCGACATGTTGGGAAGTTTCTCTGATGCGGGATGGCACTTCTGTGGGTGCTGGTTGAGGTTTGAGGCCTGCACCCAGAGCTCTTTCCCTCCTTCCCCACACCTGCCCCAGACTAGTCCCTGTGGGCCCCTCCCCTCTCCCCCCACATTTCAGACCAACACCAAAGTCCTCCTTTGTCTTTGAATAAATAGCACCTCCCACCCCTCCAGTTGAGACTGGGCATAGTTTCTCCCTGGGTCAGTGGAGGGAATGGGCAGAGGAAGCAGGCAAGGCACTGAGCTTGTCTCTCTCTTAGCTCCTTGGAGTGAATTCATCCACTGGTCAGAACCATTTCAGAAGCTCACAGCAGGTCCTACCAGGGAGAGAAGATTTCAGCAGACAGTCCTTCATGGAGAGGTGGGCGCTGGGCAGCTCCTGCTGAGCCTGGCACAGGCTTTGCCTGCAGGCGCTTTTAAGGGCAGGGCTTGTGTGTTGCTCATGGCCACACCCTCAGCACCCAGCACAAGGCGGGGACATGGAAAATGTTTGTTGAATAAGTGCCCAGGGCAGAGAACAGGTGGGTGGGTGGATAGCAGTCAGGTTTGTTTCATCGTTGCCATCAGCTGCACTCCTTGGCACTGGGAAGAGGGTGTCTGGAGGGCAAGGACATAGAAGCGGATTGTGGATGAGAAGAGGTGGGATTCCATAGGTGTTTTGAGAGCCCTGGGACAAGCTGATTGGCCACTCCACACCACTAGAGATGCAGGGAACACTCGGCCATCGATCCAGCGGGCAGGGATGGCATTCTTCTCTGTGGGCTGTCTGCCACTGTACAGTCCAGCCTCACAGAGCAGGCAGAGCGAGTTTCCTGTAGGAAGGCAGGTAGGCCACTCCTTTGTGTGCCCTCCTGTGGACACTCTGGGACTGGCCCCTGCCTGCCTCTCTGACCCCCTTACACTCCTGTGCTCCCACCCACCCAGATCCTTTTGTTCTTTAAACACACCAAGCTCATGTATGTCCCTTTGTTTGTCCGTGTGTGGACTTCCCTTCCCTCAGCTCTTCCCTGCTGGCTCCTCCTTGTCTTCTGAGTCTCCACTGGAACCTGCAGTATACTCTTTGTGGCACCCAACTCCATCTGGGGGAAAGCCTTGATGCTGTTTGTGTTTATGACTGTGTCTTCCACTAGAATGTACACTCCATGAGTATATCTAGAACAGTGCCTGGCATGCAGCACTGCCCAAGGAAATAGTTGGCGAGTGAATATGCCAATGAGTGCTGGGAGGGGGGGGGATGAAAATGAGTCAGCCAGGGACCCTATTCTCAGATTTCTTCAGGCTAGAGGCAGGAACAAA